TCCACTAGCTTTGTTCGTAGTGATGCTTTCTAAGGCCCACTTGACTTCACATTCCAGGATGTCTGGCTCTAGGTGAGTGATCACACCATTGTGATTATCTGGGTCGTGAAGATCTTTTTTGTACAGTTCTGTGTATTCTTGCCACCTCTTCTTAATATTTTCTGTTTCTGTAGGTCCATACCATTTCTGTCCTTTATTCAGCCCATCTTTGCATGAAATGTTCCCTTGGTATCTCTAATTTTTTTTTAAGAGATCTCTAGTCTTTCCCATTCTGTATTTTCCTCTATTTCTTTGCATTGGTTGATGAGGAAGGCTTTCTTATCTCTCCTTGCTATTCTTTGGAACTCTGCATTCAGATGTGAATATCTTTCCTTTTCTCCTTTGCTTTTGGCTTCTCTTCTTTTCACAGCTATTTGTAAGGCCTCCTCCAACAGCCATTTTGCTTTTTGGCATTTCTTTTTCTTGGGGATGGTCATGCTCCCTGTCTCCTGTACAATGTCATGAACCTCTGTCTATAGTTCATCAGGCACTCTATCAGATCTAGTCCCTTAAATCTATTTCTCACTTCCACTGTATAGTCCTTAGGGATTTGATTTAGGTTATACCTGAATGGTCTAGTGGTTTTCCCTACTTTCTTCAATTTAAGTCTGAATTTTGCAGTAAGGAGTTCGTGATCTGAGCCACAGTCAGCTTCTGGTCTTGTTTTTGCTGACTGTATAGAGCTTCTCCATCTTTGGCTGCAAAGAGTATAATCAATCTGATTTCGGTGTTGACCATCCGGTGATGTCCATGTGTAGTCTTCTCTTATGTCGTTGGAAGAGGGTGTTTGCTATGACCAGTGCATTCTCTTGGCAGAACCCTATTATAGTCTTTGCCCTGCTTCATTCTGTACTCCAAGGCCAAATTTGCCTATTACTCCAGGTGTTTCTTGACTTCCTACTTCTGCATTCCAGTCCCCTATAACAAAAAGGACATCTTTTTGAGGTGTTAATTCTAGAAGGTCTTGTAGGTCTTCATAGAATCGTTCAACTTCAGCTTCTTCAGCATTACTGGTCAGGGCATAGACTTGGATTACCGTGATATTGAATGGTTTGCCTTGAAAACGAACAGAGATCATTCTGTCTTCTGGGACTCAAAAACAGCCAAAACCCTGATTGGGACTTGGACCCAAGTGACTGGGACTTAAATACAGCCAAAACCCATGGTACCTGGTTTCAGAACCTAATGAAGCTCAGGTTCTTGATGTCTCATCACAGAAAGAATTCAGTGAGAGACAAAGAGATTTTAAGAAGTGTATTGAATCATATACAGAGAGAAGCACACTGCAGACAGAGTGTGGGCCATTGCAAAGAGCGAGCACAGCCCTGAAATTTGGCGTGGTTGGTTTTTATAGGCTGGGTAATTTCATATGCTAATCAGTGGGAGGGTTGTTCCAACTACTCTTGGGAGTTCAGTTCAGTTCACTTCAGTTGCTCAGTCCTGTCTGACTCTGCGACCTCATGGACTGCAGCATGCCAGGCTTCCCTGTCCATCACCAACTCCCAGAGCTCACTCAAACTCATGTCCAGTGAGTTGGTGATGGCATCCAACCGTCTCATCCTCTGTCATCCCCTTCTCCTACACCTTCAATCTTTCCCAGCATCAGGGTCTTTTCCAATGACTGAGTTCTTCGCATGAGGTGGCCAAAGTATTGGAGTTTCAGCTTCAGCATCAGTCCTTCCAATGAATACTCAGGACTGATTTCCTTTACCTCATTTTCATTCTCCTCAAAGTTCTTACCACTTCTGGTAACTTCCTGTTTCATTGTTCACAGGTTTGTTTTCTCGCTATAAGGTGGGTCAGTGACCACTGACCTTTCCCTGGGGGCTGGAAGAGGAACAGAGGGCAAGCTGTGCAGCATACAGTACCTGCACAATAAATACTTAAAGAAGAGACAGAAGGGGAACTTCCTGGGTGCTCCAGTGGTTATGAACCTGCCTGCCAATGCAGTGGACATGGGTTTGATCCCTGGTCCAGGAAGATCTCACATGCCGTGGAGCAACTAAGCCTGTGTGCCCCAACTACTGAGCATGCATGCCATCACTGAACCCATGCAGGGCAACTACTGAAGCCCATGCACCTGTGCTCCACAATGAAGAGGAGCCCCTGCTCGCTACCACTAGAGAAAGCCCTTGTGCAGTAATAAAGACCCAGTGCAGCCAAAAATAAATAAAATGAAATCGAAAAAAAAAAAAGAGAGAGACCCAAAGAAGGGGACAGAACTGTAGTCCCAGTGGGAGGAGGTGAACCCAGTGAAGAGAGGGAGGGTGGGCGGTGGGATTCACAGGGAGCCTGGCCAGGAGCAGGTGGGTCCAGTGTCCCATGCAGCCAGGAGCAGTCTCTCCATTGTGTCTCTCTTTCCTGAGCATGCCACTAAACTGGCAGTGAGAATCAGTCCGGGGAGGTAATATTGTTAGGGGAAGCACACTGGCTGAAACTGCCCATCCTGGCCAGGCACCATAGTAACCATTTGCGTGAGTTATTTTATGACAGGAGGTCCTTGTAAGGACCACCACCAACCAGAAGAATTTGGTAAAGGTTAAGAGACATCATGTGTCCAACCACCTCCCAGAATCCTCACTGGCATCCGTCTTGGCTGAGCAAGGAGTGTACCACCAGGAAGGACTCTGAGTCAGAGTGATTGGTCCAAGACAACCTGGAAAGTAACCCCATCACCATAAAACCCAAGACTGCAAGCCACGTGGCAGAACAGTTCTCCAGCATTCCCTCACCCGCCCGCTCTCCATCCAGGTGCCCTTTCCCAATCAAGTCTCTTGCTTTGTCAGCATGTGTGTCTCCTCGGACAGTTCGTTTCCAAATGTTAGACAAGAGCTCATTCTCAGGCCCTGGAAGGGGTCCCTCTTCCCGCAACAATATGAGCTGAAGGCAATAGGGAGCCATGGAGGGTGTGTGAGCAGGTGGGGGGGATGACGTGAGATCTACCTGATAGAAGCTCTATAGCTTCTTCTTCATCCATGCCCTGTTTTTACTGGTGTATATTTTCTTCTGGAAATAAGATTTTAAGGATGAATCTAGGCTGATCTGATTTAAAACTTGTAAATCACTGTGGGAAAAAAAAAAGACCTCAAATTCTTTTGCAAAACATTTTATTCCCTGAGGATCTGCTCTCTGCAGTGAGACCCCCCCCCCTTGCCACCGTCCCAATCCCTGTGAAGCCCGTTTCAGACACCTGTTTGAGGGTAGCAGGGTGGGGGGTCACCAGTTCGCTTGGATCTCCCCAATGGGACAGACACACTGGGGTGGGGGCCAGTCTGAGAACTTAGCCGACCCAAATACCTGAATATCCCCCTTCTCTGGGCACAAACTTGAGTGCGTGTGCAGGACTTGGACCCAGTGAGAACCCCCCTGGCCCCATTACTCTTCCCTGAAATCTTGGGGAGCACAGATGTGAGTGCTGGACCCTGCCAGGGACACCAGAAACTCTGAGCTGAGCCTGAGACAGATAGCCGCCTCCCTCCTCTGCTCAACGTTCCCACCATTAAAGTGATTGACGCCAGCGATTGAAGCAGGGAGGAGGCAGTCACATTCGCAGCCTCTGGCCCCTCCCACCACCTGAGGGATCCAAGATCTGGGGAGGCATGGAGAACAGTAACCTTCTCTCCCCAGCTGAAAAGTCCTTCTCCCTTCAGCTATGTGTGGACCCAGAAGTTCTCAATTGGCCTTGAACCATGGCCAGAACTCATCTACCACAGCAGGTTCATGACCAAGAAGAGGCTGGCTACTGCTTAGGGATCAGCCCGTGATGAAAGTCAGGGCTAGGAGGTGGGACATTGAAAAGGAATGGATGTAGCAGCAGTAGCTGGGACCTGAGCAGAAGTGCTTCTGCCCTTAGCAGCCATGGAAAGAGACGGTCCCTCCAGCTGAGAATCTAGGGAGGATGGAACATGGTCTAGGCAATACCAGGTAGGTTTTGAAGGATGTGTAGGAGCTCGCTGGCCAGATGATTCCCTCATCAAGCCCTCCCTGGTACCCTCCTAGCTTCATCTACTTAGGAGGACAAAGGTCTCAGGTTCCTGGATGGAAGCTGCTGCCTTTTCCATAGGGATGGAGATAGTAGCCTCAAGGCTGGCAGCATTGACACCACCTCAGTAGACCTGTCTCTGCCTGCCACAGGTGAGGTTGGGCTGGCTCAGCGCGTCCCACATGAGCAGCATCTCGTAGGGCAAGAAGCGGTGCACCAGTAGTAGCTCTCGGTAGAAGCAGGGGTCAAAGGAGGACAGGCGGCTGGAAGGGGACTGAACGCCTCCCGTGCGGATACCACTGTGTGAGGCGGGCTCCAGGCCCTCCCGCTTCAGGCACATGCCCAGGAAGACATCATCGATGGGGAAGAGGTCCAGGGCGCGGGAGGCGTGGTGCAGGGCGGAGGCCGTGAAGCGGGACAGCAGGAAGCCACCACCCCCGCAGTAGGGCGGGTAGTGTTCCCCCTCCATGACCACCTTGGGCACGTAGTACTTGCTCCATGGAATCCGGATGGGGCCCACATTGTGGATCAGGTGCCCCACAAAGAGGTGGTGGTCAGGGTTGTGGCTCTGCAGGTAGGCGACCATGTTGTCTGTGTGGGCAAAGACGTCATCATCCCCGTTGAGCAAAAAGCTGGCATTGGTGCACCGTGTCCTCTGCCACTGTAGGAAGAGCACCTGCAAGGGGGGGGAGGTGGGCAGACAGGGCCTGCGGGCTTGATGCCTGGGCCACTGGCTTTGGGTCCCTGTTGGCCACCCCAGTGACCCCCAGTCAGGCTAACCTGGGTTCAGTAATTCACCCTGTGGGGTGATCTTTGCAACCAACAGCCCCTCTTGGTGCCTCAGTTTCCAACCTCCCAGACAGGACTTGTCATAGGACCTACCTCCTGGAGTGTTGGGGATCTTCAGAAATGATGTACCAAGAAGCGCTTGAAAATTGTCTCATTTACATTTACTGCTATTCTTTCTGACTCTGCCTCGTCAAGCACTGCCATCACAGAATTACTTGTATGATTCTTATATAACATCTACTTCCCCTAGCGTGGCTCAGATGGTAAAGAATCTGCCTGCAATGCAGAAGACCCAGGTTCAATTCCTGGGTCTGGAAGATCCCCTGGAGAAGTTAATGACTACCTACCTCAGTATCCTTGCCTGGAGAATTCCACGGACAGAGGAGCCTGGCAGGCTTCAGTCCACGGAGTTGCAAAGAGTCAGACGTGACTGAGCGACTAACACTTCAGTACTTCCCCCACCAGACTCTGGACTCCCCCTGGGTGGGAGCTGTGTCTCTCCTATATGCTAACACCACCCAGGATGGGGTCAACACTTCGTAGACACTGGATTCATGTTTGTCAAGTTGATGTTCATCACAGGCTTTTATGTTTTGCATTAAGAACGTGGCATATTGAGAGGTTCTGGGTCCTCTGCCCACCTTGGCTTTAGTTACCTCCATAACAACTATTGCTGCATGCCAGTGCTTGCTCAGTGTCTGCCCTACCTTGAATCCTTAATACAATTTTAGGAGGCTGGTGTGGTCTTCAACCCCATTTACAGATGAGAAAATAGAGGCTCTCCAGAGAAAGTGCCTCGAGTAAGGTCACACAACAGAGATGGTCTATTGTTCAAGGTCTTGAACCCAGACCTGTCTATACTTACTATGGGTAGGAATCTGCACTGGGCCCTTTCAACTTGGATCTCTACTCAGCTTGCTCCACCCCTCCCACCCCCAGGCTGATTGGGTCCTCAGAGCCTTCCATTCCTCCTCTGAGCATGGGCAAGATAACCTCCACTTCTCACGGTTTCTCTTCATCAGAAAGGTCTTTGTTGAATATCTACTGCACAGACCTGAGCCTCAGGGGGAGACAAACCAGAACAAAGAAACAAAATGTGCTCCGTACAGTGTTTCCCACTGTGCAAAGTCACTTCAGTCGTGTCCAACTCTTTGCGACCCCATGGACTACAGCCCACCAGGCTCCTCGGTCCATGGGATTTCTCTGGCAAGAATACTGGAGTGGGTTGCCATGCCCTCCTCCAAGGGATCTTCCTGACCCAGGGATTGAAGCCAGGTCTCTTGCATTTCCTGCATTGGCAGGCGAGTTCTTCACCACTAGCTCCACCTGGGAAACCCTACCTGGCACTGGCCCAGGTACTTAACAATATCTCAGGGACTTCCCTGGCGATCCAGTGGTTAAGACTCCAAGCTTCTACTGCAGGAGGCGCAGGTTTGATCCCAGATAGAGGAAATGAAGATGCTGCATGCTGCACCACCAAATAAATAAATAAATAAAACCTCATGTAATCCTCACTGTAGCCCTCAGAGGTGAATGAATTCAATTAATACCCCATTTCCTTGATGAGGGAACTGAGGCACAGAGAAGTGAATGATCATCTAGGGCAAACAGCAAATAAGACGTTTGAACCCAGGTCATCAAGGCTTGGAGAGCCAGGCTTGCAAGCTCACACCACCCTGTCCTTTCTCCCTGCCTTTCCTGGATAAAGAAGACTTCAGATCACTATGAGGACAGCAGAGGGGGTGGGGTGAGGGGGCTTCTGGTCTCCAGTACCCCTCAGAGGATGGTAGTAACTTTGGGCAGGAAGCACAGGTGGCCCCAAGGAGTTGTCACCCCGCCCCCCCCGCCGCCCCCCACCCCCAGGCAACCTGCTTCAGCGTGAGGTTGAAGAACGAGTCGTGGAAATCCCACTGCAGGATGTCCCGGTGCATCCGCGCCTCCATGGCCAACAGCCGGTTGACCTTGCGCGCCTCCAGCGGGTTGGAGTCGGTGCCCAGCAGGAAAAGGCGGCGCAGCTGGACGCCGAGAATCTGGCGCTCCCGGCCCCACGTGCGCCGCACCAGCTCCCGGCGCTCGTAGTTGCTGGGCGAGGACTTGATCACCAACAGCAGGAAGACGGGGTCCGCACACTTGTCGGGCGGCACTTCCTGGAGCAACGCGAAGTCGCGGCAGTGTTTGTACAGCAGGAAGTCGCGGATGTGCTGCGGCTGCCCTGCGAAGTCCGGCAGGGACGTCACGGAGGTGTTGGGCCGACAGGGGGCGGGCGGGGTGCGGAAGGGCGGGGAGGGCCAGTCCGGAGCCTTAGGGGCGCGCAGCGGCTCCTTCAGGCGGGGGCAGGTGGGTGGTGACTGGTGCAGACTGAAAAAGAGGAGGGTGACGGTGGCTAGAAGCAGAGCCAGGGCCGCCTCTTTCCGCAGGGGACGGGAACACCTCATTGTGGTCCACCGGAGTTCCGGAGTGGTCCGAGGAGACCCCTGGACAGTAGTTCCTGCAGACAATAACACTCGCTGGAGGTGCCAGATGGGCCGAGCGCTTTTCCCGAGCTACCTGTGGACCCCAGCACCTGGCTGCAGCCTTACAGTTGCTCAAGTCGGTAAAATGCTGAAACTTACCCCCGGAGATTCCCTGCCCCCCGCCCACTCCAGTACCCCATTTGGCTCTGACTGTTGCCCAGGGCCTGCTGGGAATCAATATTTACAGAGAAAACAGGCATGGAGATGCCAAGGGGAGCCTCCCAGATGCAGTGTGCCCAGAATCCTCGACATCCAAACTGGACCTCTTTATGTTCCAGCCTCAGAGATGGCTCAGGAGCCTCCCAGAGAAAGAGACAGAGAACTCCCCTTTTAGTAGCTGAGAGCTGCTGGGATCTTTCCCGGTTCCCTTTTCACTTGCCCCTCCAGGAAGCTCTGAGCTTCTGATATAACCATCACTCATTCTACATTTTGGTGGTAGGGCACTGTATGTGGGATCTTAGTTCCCCCACCAGGGATCGAACCTGCGCCCCACTGTGGAGGAAGCACAGAGTCTTAACTCCTGGCCCTCCAGGGAATTCCCACGACTATTTTTAATGGTCCTGTGAGCTGAGCATGGGCTTTCCTGATGGCTCAGTTGGTAAGGAATCTCCTGCAAAGCAGGAAACCCAGGTTCAATTCCTGGGTCAGGGAGATCTCCTGGAGAAGGGAATGGCAATCCACTCCAGCATTCTTGCCTGGAGAATCCATGATCAGCAGAGCCTGGTGGGCTCTAGTTCATGGGGTCACAAGGAATTAGACATGACTGAGGGACTAACACACCGAGTTGAATATGGGCCCTGGCTCTTCACAGACCCCTCAGGCTCAGCATGTCTCAAACAATGCTATCTTCTTTGGCAAACTCCTGTTCCTCCGTTAAAGCCCATCTCAAATGATCCATTCTCCGGGCTCAAATGAGCCATTCTCCAAGAAGCCCTCTTTGATCCCTCAGGAAGAGTCCCGAGACCACCTCTGGTCCCATGGCCCTCTCTGGCTCAGTCATGGTCCCATGAGGGTGTCTGTATCTGACTTTGATTTCTTAAGGCTGAGGGCTTCTTGAGGGTCCTGGCATCGCCCAGCATGAGGCAGACGCATAGGGGAAGCAAGGAGTGTCTGAATGAATAATTTATGAATAAAAGTAAGTTCACTTAGTTTCTCTCTGCCAAACACTTGTTCATCTGTCAAAACCCCTCCTCCTAGAAGATTTCCTTTCCCGTATCTATGCAGAGCCCTTGGTCTCCTGTTCAGATCCTTTCTCCAGGCTTCCCTGGACTCCCATGATGTCCTTTTGTCTGGAAAGGTGGTATCTGTGCTGTGTTCCAGCCCTAAATGTGCAAATGAACAGCATGAAAATGCTAAATTAGACCCAAGGCAGGACCTACCGATCCATTAAATGCTTACTGGCTTACCTCAGAAAGGTGCCCCCTGGAGCCAAATTCCTGGGTTTTGATCCCAATTCCATCCCTCCCTGGCTGTGTGCCCTTCATACATAGGTCCTTAGTATCCTCAGCTATAAAAGGGACATGTGAGCAGTCCCCAAGTCCCTGGGTTGTGCAGGTGTGAAGGGAGCGCCTGGCAACCGGTACCTAGTGGGCATTCGACCAGTGTTTGTTGAATGAATATGTGAACCTCAACATTTACCTCAGATTGCTTCAGGAAGTCCGTGCTGGTCTGGGGTATCCTCGTTCTCCCCTTTGGCACCTGAAACACCGTAGGGCAGTCAGTGGATTCTCCTGGGCCCCTCCAGCTCTAAGCAACTTCAACCCGCTCTTCCCTATGAGCAAGAGTTTCCCATTTTATCTACAGCTACAAAAGAGTGCTGGTACTGGGGACAAGGCTTCCTTCCCTGATCCATAAGGTCGTTTCCCCAGTGTGCCCATCACTATCTCTGCACACTGCCTAGCCAAGCCAAGGACTCTCTGACCAGGTATGTCCCCAAGAAAGGGCTCAGACGCCACTCTACAGGTTCTAGTGTGTGACTTTGGGAAAGAAGCTTGACCTCTCTGAGCTTCAGCGTTAAATGGGGATTAACCCCATGTAAGAATGTGATTGGGATTTTAACCTCAAACATGCTGAGGACCTCAAAAATGGTCCTGCCTCAGGACTTCTGCACAGATTGTTTCCTCTGCCTGATTCCCCAGATTTCCACACGTTCCCTCCTTCGGGACCCCCTTTGTTCAAATGTCCCTGTCTCAGGAACACCTCCTCAGGACACATCATCTCATTGGCAGCCCTGATCCTCCACCTTAGCCCCCTTTTTATGTCTTCCAGAGCACTTTTCATCTTCTGAAGTGAAAGTTGCTCAGTCATATCCCACTCTTTGCAACCCCATGGACTATACAATCCGTGGAATTCTCCAGGCCAGAATACTGGAGTGGTTAGCCGTTCCCTTTTCCAGGGGATCTTCCCAACCCAGGGATCAAACCCAGGTCTACTGGACTGCAGGCAGATTCTTTACCAGCTGAGCCACCAAGGAAGCCCAAGAATACTGGAGTGGGTAACCTATTCCTTCTCCAGTGGATCTTCCTGACCCAGGAATTGAACCAGGGTCTCCTGCATTGCAGGTGGATCCTTTACCAGCTGAGCTACCAGGGAAGCCCCTTTCATCTCCTAAAATACATGATGACATTTTAAAAAGGCACTGCTTTTCATCCATCTCCCCCAGAACACGAGCTCCATGAAATGTCTTGTTCACCTTTTTATCCCCAGCCCCTAGAACTGTGCTTCGTGCATAGTAGGTGTTCAGTAAATGAGTACCGAATGAATAAATGAATGTTCAAATGCCGAAAATTCTGAAAAAATATTGACTCTTGGGACTTCCCTGGTTGTCCAGTGGTTAGGACCACTCACTTCCACTGCAAAGCATACAGATTCAGTCCCAGCTGGAGAACTAAGATCCTGGAAATCACACAGTGTGGCCAAATATACAAACATATATATAGACTCTCAGAATGACTTTATGCATTCATTCAAGCCAGTATTTACTGTGCTTCTCCTATGTGCCAGGCACCCCCTGGGAGCTGAGGACCCAGTGGTGAGCAGGCATGGGATATCTCAACACCTCTGCCACTCTGGGACCCACTCTCCAGGGGGAATGAACACTAAATAAAAACCTCAGTGAAATGGCATGGGAGGAAATCGGGTCTGGTGTGTGTGGGAGCGTGGATTTTGAGGTCTAGATGACATTTAAATGGAATGTGAATGGCACAGAGGAGCCAGCATGGGTGAGGTCCGGGGGGGGGGGGGGGGGGGGGGGGGGGGGGCAGTGTGGGGAGGGCAGGAGGATACCAGGGAAGGTAAAAGCAAGTGCAAAGGCCCAGAGGTGGGAATGAGTCAATGGGGTCTGAGTAGCTAGGGACCCTCTCTGCTCGTGGCACAGAGCCTGTCTTATTGCTGTGTGTCCCCGGCTTGGCTGCCAGCCTGAGAGGGGGTGGTTTCATCATCTGGAGGCCTAATCTGTGTGTCCTAAAAGGACATATCACAATCTTGTGAACTGACAAATGTGATGCAAGAATGAACAAATCCAAGGACATTTTCCTGAGCTGAAGAGAAGCCTGAGTTCAGAGTGGACCACAAGAAAGGTCCACTTTCTTGTTTCAGTGGACAAGGCAAACCTGGCAGATCCCTGAGCTCTAAGGATGGGGAAGAAACTCAGGAGCTGCAGTAGAAAGCCCAAGTCACCAAAAATCAGACGAGAGATGTCATAATGTTCTCTTTGGTGACACTGGTGGTCAGAGACCCACAGATGCTGGAAGACATGGGACCCCAATTTCTAACTCAGACACCCTCATTCAGAGGGTGAATTCATTTACAGTCTAAGTCAGTTTTCAACCAGGGATTATTCTGCTTCCAGGGCCTACTTACTGGGCAACGTCTGGGGACATTTCTGGTTGTCATGATTGGGGGAGAGTAGACATATGGGGTTGCTAATGGCATGGAGTGGGCGGAAGCCAGAGATGCTGCTTAAATGAACATCCTACAGGTCACAGGACAGTCCCCATGACAGAGAATGATCCACTCCCAAACATCAACATTGTCAGGATTGAGAAATCCTGGTCTTATTTAAATAAACATAGAAACGGAATAGAGAATTGAAAAGGAGGAAGGGTTCAAAGGGGAAAGAGGGCTGAACACAGAACCTTGATATAAGTTTAGATAAACTCCCTGGATGGAGTATTTGAGATTTATTAGTGTTTATTTCAATTTAAATAGGAAATCAAACCTAAATGGCCAAGGATCCCTTAGCTGGGAACGTGTTTAGTTCCCAAAACAAAGAAAAATAACTCAGCGAAATAGGAATACCTACAACTCAGCAGGCTTCCCTGGTGGCTCAGTGATGAAGAATCCACCTGCCAATGCAGGAGAAAGGGGTTCGATCCTTGGGTCACGAAGATCCCCTGGAGAAGAAAATGGCAACCCACTCCAGTATTCTTGCCTGGGAAATTGCATGGACAGAGAAGCCTGACAGGCTACTGTCTATGGGGTCAGAAAAGAGTCAGACACAACTTAGCCAGTAAACAAGAACAACAATTCAGCCAAACCTGGGCATTGGGAAGGGGGAAGGGGTGAGAAGGGATAAAATGACTAAATGGCTCATATTACAGGGATCAGGGTGTCTGGGCAAAAGAGAACCTCTTGAGGGTGGTCATTTGGTTCTAAATTAATTCCATTAATGCTTGTTCTTTTCCTTGCACTTTCTTTCTTGTTTATTTGTGAGAACTCTTTGCATATGAAACACTCACTCTTTGTTGGCCACCTGCATTCCCAACTTTTTCTTGCCAGATCTCTTCTTAAACTGGAGGGAGCTTACAGAGACTCCATTCTCCCAGTCCCTGTGAGTCTCCTGACTGGGATCTGAGAGTTCAAGTTGGGGGTGGAGGAGGGGATGGAGGTTCATTCCCCCTTCTCCCTACACTAAAGTGAAGTCGCTCAGTCATGTCCAGCTCTTTGCAACCCCATGGACTGTAGACTACCAGGCTTCTCCGTCCATGGGATTCTCCAGGCAGGAATACTGGAGTGGGTTGCCATTTCCTTCTCCAGGAGCTCTTCCCAACCCAGGGATCAAACCCCGGTCTCCCACATTGCAGGCAGACGCTTTACCATCTGAGCCGCCAGGGAAGCTCCCTACTCTAGACCTCTATTAATGTACCCCAGTTCCCCTTCTCTTTTTCATCCACCAAGGTCACCCCCAATGCTAACTCATGGCCCCTTGAAACTTCAAGCAGGAAATATTTCCAAACTCACAACATCCCACATCCAGATTGGCATAAAAAGAATCCCTGGGGCCCCCTTTCAGTCAGGCTGAGAGTGCTGGGGATTCACTGATCCAGAATACCTTGCTGGGTGTCTCAGTGGGCAGTACCCCAGGTGGTCCCCAATCTCCCCTTATAGGCCTTACTTTCTAAAGAGATAATGACCTCACACCTACCTTGGGAAAGGCTAGGGCTTAGGGGCCCAGTGTTGCCAAGGATGGGGAGCCCCTTGGTATTACTTCCTCTAAGCAGCTATGCAGCAACTCTGGGAACTTTGTTGGTGAGCTGGATGGTTGGTGAGAAGTTCTTCTCAGGCCTGCTTTCAATTCTCTGACCCTCCACCCCACCCCAAAATTCTGCTGTCTACTGTCTTCAGACTGGGAAGGACCGGACTTGTGGAAGCCAAAATAGCTGCTCACTCTGAAGTCTGTGGGGTTGGAATAACTCTGGGAGAATCCCCACCCTCGCATCATAGCTGGGGAAGTGAAGCTCAGAGAGTCATCCTAAGGTGGCCCAGGGGGTGACTTGCATTGCCACAGAAACCCACTATGTCTCAAAGTTCTTCAGTCCTGAGAAGGGTGTCGTAGTCTCTTACCCCAAAGCACACATATGAAACATTCCTTCCTTCAACAAACAGATTCTGGAGGAACTGAGAAGCCTCAACCCTGGGCCTGGCCCTCCAGAAGCTCTCAGACTGGGGGAGAAAAATCCAGACACCTCTGGTTTCAGGTCTGGACCAGAAGAATGGATTTGGGTATTGAGGCTGAGGTTTTGAAGGATGCATATGAATTCACCAAGGGAGTTCAGATAGGAGGGTGAATGCAAAAGCGAGGAAGAGAAAGAAAACAAAGACTATTCAAGGACTCACGTGGTTTATTTTGTTGAAAAGCAGAATTTGGAGAGGGGTTGATTTCTGAGACTAAGAGGTGGGGCCAGATCCCATAAAGACCTTGAATGCCAAACTTAGTAATGGGGTTCTTTCCTGGGGGTATGGGAGAGCCATGAAAGGTATGTGAGCAGAGAGGCCCGATTCCTCGTTGAAGGCTCCCTCTTTGCTCAGAATTGACCTTAGTGAGGCACTTCCTCTGGGGCATCTATTTCCTTGTTAGCATATGCAAGTACTGAGAATGCTCCTCGCCCTATAAACACACAATGGGTCACTTTCTATATTAAGTAGCAGAGGGCCTGGCACACACTGACTATGCGGTGATAACCTCAGTGACCTTGGCTCATGGTCCTGGATCCTTTAATGCCCCCAGAACCCCTACTTACAGATGGGGATAATGAGGCTCAGCATAATGCAGGACTGGAACGCAGAATCTGGATGGGTGGGAACCCTATATTTCCCACCTGGACGTCCTTCCAGAATCTGTCACGAGGAACCATGTGCTAAACATCTGATGTAGGACGGAGAACCTGGTGAGCAGGTAGGCACTGCTAAGCCATCCTGGAGGAGGGAGCAGGGAGCAGGGGGCGGG